CCCCTTTTTGTCAGTTATCAAAAAGAACATATAATTAGAGCCAAAAAGGATTTATATTAAAATTAGAAGCAACGATAAGAAGTTCAAAACAGCAGCAATGTAGAAAATATTACAGATAAACAAACTTTAAAAGAGAAATCTAAGAGGGAGGAGGAAGACGCGTGAACAAAGATTCCAACAAGTCCTTGATCTGGGTGTTGGTTTCCTCTTGTTTGCTTAACATGCTCTTGATTTTCGAAACTTATCATCCTATTTATCCATCCTTTCTTGCATAACAATATCTGCTCTCTTCAGTTCTTCCAGAGTATGCCTTTCATAGGAGGAAGCTTGAGAATCTTCAGTAACTGGATGCTTCTCAGAGCATTCTGCAACATGATCTTTATGAACCAATTCCTACCCCTCAAACCTTTGATGATTTTGACATAGGTTTTGACCCCTCTGAAACTCTAAGTCTTAGAGGAACTCACTCTCTACCTATCAATCCAAATACCGAAACAACTCAACCAGAACTTGCAAAAGTTCTGCCAGATATTAAAACTTTTGACCAGAATATTTCTGCTCCCACACCAGAAAATCCAAACTCCGAAACCACTACAGAAGCACCACAACTAGAAATTCCCCTCTCTCCACAACCAGAAATACCACTACCTCAATCTCCTCAACCAGATATTCATCCACCATCTCCACAACCTGAATAATCACAACCAAAAGTTCAAACTTCTGAGATCCAACCCTCTGAGACCTGTGAACCAGAACCTCATAATGTTCAATCCAACCAATCTGAAGAACCCACTTCAGATTCTGATACCATTCCCATTCCAGGTATCATTGAACCTCTGGCCATCCGTATGCCCCTCACCATTCTGGACATTCCCCAAATTCCCTATTCACTAGAATCTACTCCACCAAACTCCCCAACTAGTCCAATAATTATACCAGACTCTCCCACTCTCTCACTAAAAAGCAATAAAGAATAAGATATTTTCAATAAGGGGGAGATTGTTAGAACATAGTTTGATTCTACAATCCTTGATTAGAGTTTTGATGATAACAAAATACAAAGAATAAATAAATCCAAAGATATATACAAAGAACAAATATGCTCCTTAAAATTATGTTTTGTATATGCAGAAGTTCTAATGGAATCAGCATCAGAAGATAAGTTGAAGTATTACACGCTGAAGCAAAATAATTCTACGCTGGATGACCAGAATCTGCGCCTAAACATGTACACTCTGACTCTGAACAAAGACATCTTAACCAAGTCATCTACATTCTGAAGTGTTATCAGCAGTTAAAGCAAAGAAGACTCTGAAGCGTTACTGGTTATTCAAGACAGAATTAAATGCTAACGGCTTTCTTCAGACAAGATCTTCTACAAAAGGAAAGTGTGTTATTATCATTAAACTTGACTTATGGACAACGTATCTTGCTTGCCTATATAAACAAGTCTGCCTATGAAAGAAGCACGTACGTACACACACATCAATTTGCAGAGAATTCCAAATCACGCATATTCAAGCTCTAGCAAATTTATTTTATTTCAAGCTTAATTTGTGTAATTATCACAGTTGTGATATACAGTTTTGTTAGAAAACGATAACACACTTTTGTTCAATTATTTGTAAAAGATTTCCTTGAGATAAACCGGTTTGTGGTTATACTCAAGAAGACTTTAACAGTTGTTAAAGTAGCTGTTGTAATCCTTTGAGATTAGTGGATTAAGACCTCGTTGGAGAGAGGCGAAATCACCTTGACGGGTGGACTGTAGTAGTTTGAGATCAAACGAACCAGGATAAAAATACTGTGTCATTAAGCTGTTTTGATCTAAGTTTTTCAATTCAACCCCCCCCCCCCCCCCCCCCCCCCCACTTCTTGTGTTTTTCACATCTTCACTTCTGATCGAAATTGACTTCCAGCCGTGAGAGATGAAAACGTAGATGACGTTAAGACGGAATTTCGGCCACCAGAACGGGTTCAAAACAAGCCACAATCTTCAAGTTATGAATTTTTTAGTGCGTAAAAACTGCACTTTCAGCACACTTTTTTACCATATTTCTTCGAGAAAACTCACACATTCGGAGACCTTCTTTAAAGAATTGACTCTTGAGCCGAACCTGAATTTGAGAATACGTTATCAGAGATATCTTGGCGAAAGAACACCCGAATATGACGCACCGGGTTAGACTTGTGAATCTTTGAACCCCGAATCGTTGCAAAACGACGAACCGATCTTCAGCACGGAAAATACTCTGAGAACATCCATTGACGAAATAAACGTCACTTATAACCTGACGAAGCTTGATAAACATACCTTTATTCCATAACTATAAAATCAATAATATGCGTGTATGAAAAGAGAGTAAATTTTAGAGTACAAAGAGTACTATATACATAGAGAAGAGTGAAAATTCAAAATGACATTGAAAGTTAGAAAGAGACATTTCATTTTTTGTTTTCCCACAATTTTGAAAAGTTAAATAGACACTTGAATAGTTATTAAAGATTAACAAAAATAAAAATAAATTAAAAATTAGTAGAAAAAAAAATGAAGAGAAGACAATTATAAAAAGATTTAAAAAAAAAGCATTTATATAAATAACCATGGCTCTAAAAAAATTGCCAAGTGTCAAAATTTCCCTAGAAATCATCTTGTTATATATATATATATATATATATATATATATATATATATATAAAATATTATATTCATATCAACTTACAAGATGATATAATATTTAATATTTTTTACCAACATTTAAATTACATATTTCATGATAAATTTTGAGATAATATTGATAATTTTAAAGTTAGTGAAATGATACAAAGTAGGTCGATGAGTTCAACTAAGACAAAAGAAATTCATAATAGTAATGCAGTTTTATTGTAGAATGTTAGACAATAAATTTACTTTTCTTATTAATTTAATTCAAAATTACAATATTATTATTTTATGTATCTTATTAAATTTTATTATAAAACTTATATATAAATACTTAATATATTTTAATATTATCTTTAATTTTTACATATATAATATTCACATGTGTTTATTTATATTTATTATTATGGAAAAAATTTAACTTAATAATATAATATAATAAAATAAGAAACGATTAATTTTTTAGTAAAAAATATTCTTTTATGTAATTTTACATTGTAAATTAGTGTAACCACTAATTTATTGAAGACTTAAAATTAATTTATCATCTATTAGTTATCAATTATAAATTATTAGTTATCAATTATTACTCATCAGCTTTTTAACTGTTAATTATTTTTATCAAACAGAACATCAATTTAATATATATAAAGAAAACAAATAAAAGAGACACTTGAAAACCTATTTATATTTTTATATAGGAAGAGTGTTAAGAATTTTTTTTTAACAATCTCTTAAATACTCATTTTATTATCAATGAAATATTATGAATCTTCATTATGGAAATGGGTCCATCCACATGTGTTTCATTCAATAAAACAAGTTATGACACTTATTTGCTTACCACTCAGTGCTCTATTATTTGGTTTTCATTTATTTATATATATTTAAAGACTTTAATGACACCCTAAAAATACAATTGAGATAGAATCCTCTTCATTTTTTCTCTTTATTTTTCCTCTTTATTACTATAATTTTAAAGACATATATAATGTAAAAAATAAATCTACTATTAAACGACACATTATTACATTAATAATTTCAAAATTTTGATAATACACAAAATTAAGGGATAAAACGGAGATCTTCACTCCAATAAATCATAATGACAATACTTTAACAAATTTAAACTAGGGGCACTTAAATGACCATTCATTTTATTACACAAGTAAAAAAGAGAAGAAAAAAAAAGACTTATTATTTATTACCCATTAATCTCCCACCAAAAAGCTACATGTAGACAAGGGTTAATCTGGACCACATTTATACTAGTCTATGGTGCTCGATACTTATTAACCTATAGATACTACTGCTTCTCATATAACACCGTGTACCTACCCGCACCAAATTATTCTCCCAAATTTGAAAATCCCATCTGTCACTAGATTCTTAAATTAGTTTTCTCAAATTAGAAATCAAATTCACTCCTCAACCAACCCAATAACAGAGTCTAATTCACACCTGTATATTATATTTTATTTTAATTATCACAAAAATAGAAAAAATAAAAGGATACTTATTAAGTTAGTTATTATCCATATAAAATTTTTCATGGACCTACCATTGCCACTTGTGAAATATAAGTATATCTAATAATTTGCACTATCTCCAAGCAAGAACAATATTTTGATTCTTAATTTATTTTAAGGGGTCTACAAATGACCTCACATATTCAATATTTCCACCATATTTAAACAAAAATATTTTTCTTCTATTCTATTAACAACCACTTTATTATAATAAAGAAATATTTATTTTATTAATGATAGTTAACACAGACACCAAAAGATTTTAAATTTAATTCGTATTATCGATACGAAGACATTCTTAATATTTAATTTATAAATATTTTTAAATATAGTCTTAAAACCTACTGTGACTCGAGTCTAAAACAGATCAATTAAATTTTTTATAAAATAAAAAAAAAACATTCTTTTAAAGATTAACTCTTCTTACATGTAAGGTTACCTCATCTTTGCTCCAATTTTATGTGAAAATAAAAACTTTTCAGAGACATTCTTAAAAATATGTAAGAAACATGCACTTAAAGATGTTTATAATAGTTCGTTTAGTAGTTCCGTGTGAAGGAAAAAAAAGAAGTGAAGTGGGACCCATACATTACTCCTTCCTTTTCCAATCTTTCTCAAAATCTATATAAAGCAGTTGCATTTTTATTCCATTCACTTCACCTCACCCATCAAACTATTACACCTCACCCTATAACAAAGTGGTTGGATTAACTGTCCTCAATTAAAAAACTAGAAGCTCTTTTCTCTTTGTTTTCCATTCTCTTTTTAATGTTTCATTAACTAGAACAAAAGTGAAGAAACAAAACACAATGGAGAGAAAGTTTGACATGGTTTTGGTATTGTTGTTTTTGTGTTTGTGTGTTTTTTCTGTCACAGCCTCAGTGACTTATGATCACAAAGCTATTGTAATTAATGGACAGAGAAGAATTTTGATCTCTGGTTCAATCCACTATCCAAGAAGCACACCTCAGGTAGGTCTATCTGTATCAGCACACTTGTGATTACGTTAGCATCAGTGTCGTGTATGTGCTTCATAGGTTATGCATGAACCAACCAAAAGAAGAAAAAAGTTTGTTGGTAAAAATTATAAGACTAATAAAAAAAAGTGTTTCTTAATGCAGATGTGGCCAGATTTAATTCAAAAGGCCAAAGATGGAGGTGTTGATGTGATTGAAACATATGTGTTTTGGAATGGACATGAACCTTCTCAAGGAAATGTAATAAACTAGTTTCAATTCAATATGTTTTGTTTTAAGATTTTCGATAATTCGAGTTTTATTAAATGATGATTTTGTTTTCAGTATTACTTTGAAGATAGGTTTGATTTGGTTAAGTTTGTGAAAGTGGTTCAACAAGCTGGACTTTATGTTCACTTGCGTATTGGTCCCTATGTTTGCGCGGAATGGAATTTCGGGTAATGATTTTAATCATTTTGATGAGAATAGAACAATTCTTAGGTAAATTCTTGTAAATTTCTCAAAGTTAACATGTTCTGTTTTTGTATGCAGGGGATTTCCTGTTTGGCTAAAGTATGTACCAGGTGTTGCTTTCAGAACCGACAACCAGCCGTTCAAGGTTGAAACTTTTTCAATTTTGGAGTCTCATTAGTTTAATTTCTAATGATTTGTTTGGTTGATTATGGATATTTAATTAGTTTTTGTTTAATTAATTTTCTAATTAACCGTCCAAATTTTGTCATGATGTTTAGGCTGCAATGCAAAAATTCACTGCTAAGATTGTCAGTATTATGAAAGCAGAGAGATTGTTTCAAAGCCAAGGTGGTCCAATTATTTTGTCTCAGGTAAGTACAGAAAAAATGGTATTTAATTATGTTCTCTTATATGTGTTATTTTTAGAAACATTTTTTTTAACTATTGAGTTTCTTAAATTTTTTACTATAAAGTTTATGGAGTCTGTAATTCGGAGTTTAACCAACAAATAAGTGAAATCTAACTGATGATTCGTCTTTGACTGAAGTTCGTTAACCACGTGAACGAACTATTTAATGAAAAAAGAAGATTGAAATCGAATTTGAATTGATACAGATTGAGAATGAGTATGGACCGGTGGAATGGGAAATTGGTGCTCCTGGAAAAGCTTATACGAAATGGGCTGCTCAAATGGCTGTTGGTCTAGACACGGGTGTACCGTGGATTATGTGTAAACAAGAAGATGCTCCTGATCCTATTGTAAGCAATCTTTTCTTGTTACAAGTTTTATAAACGTATTCGTATGGTGTGTGAGTTTGAAGCTTTTTAGTTTGTTGCAAAATTCTTATCCTGATCCTTAAAGTTTATATGACCTGCTTAGTGGTGGGGTTTATAACAGTGTCATGCTTATTTTGTTTAGACTAAGGTTGTTGCTTTTACTACTATGTAATGATGGTTTGATGTTCTTTCCTTAAGCCATTTCACCTTTTTCCCTTTTGTTGTTTTTCCTTTGTTTGAAGGAAGATGCTTTTTTGGCTTGCTTCAGAGTACTTCTATTATCTTCTACGCGTTTCTTTTCCACTTGCTAACGTTAAATTTCAATTCAACTTTTATGAAAGGAAACTTGTGTTGATTCTTCTGTTTTTGATCTTTCTGTATGTTGGTTATGGCATATAGTTATTGTTAGAGCGGCTTTTTACAAACATTGCGCATTCATTTCTTGCATTTTTTCGGTAACTTTACTCTTTTGGATTAGGATTTCTGTTCTAACACTATCTGATCTGTATTTACTGGCTTTGTTTTTTTAGATTGATACCTGCAATGGATATTACTGCGAAAACTTCTCTCCCAACAAGAACTACAAACCCAAAATGTGGACTGAAAACTGGACTGGCTGGTATGTTACTGTTAGGTCATACAAATGCTACCTTTAAAAGTTATAAAAATGTTTCATTTCGCGTCTTATATTAGTTTTCTGCTTCTTGTTTTTGTTTAGGTACACTGATTTTGGCAGTGCTGTCCCTTATAGACCAGCAGAAGACTTGGCATTCTCAGTTGCCAGATTCGTACAGAATCGCGGCTCATATGTTAACTACTATATGGTATTTTTATGTTAACCCTCTCTGCATATTTGATTTTTTAGCTACAAATTTATGTTCTAGAAATTTCAATTCGAGTCTAATGATGTATTTTATTCGAGTCCAGTATCATGGGGGAACTAATTTTGGAAGGACAACTAGTGGCCTTTTCATTGCCACAAGCTACGACTACGATGCTCCTATCGATGAATACGGTAGGGAGTATTAAGGTTTAAATTGTTTACATGCTTTGAATGGCGATAGTTATACAGATTGATGTTTGTTTAACCTTACCATTTTATCAGGACTTATAAACGAACCAAAATGGGGGCATCTAAGAGATTTACATAAAGCGATAAAGCAATGCGAGTCAGCTTTGGTGTCCGTGGATCCGACAGTGTCATGGCCCGGAAAAAACCTTGAGGTAAAGTCCATGCCGAGGTGGTTCTTATGAAAGGCGCATAATTTCTACTGTCTTGAACATTCATTTGAGTTTGTTTGTTAATGTAATCGTAGGTGCATCTTTACAAGACAAGCTTTGGTGCATGTGCTGCATTCCTTGCAAATTACGACACCTCGTCGTGGGCAAAAGTTCCATTTGGAAATGGCCAGTATGACCTCCCACCCTGGTCTATCAGTATTCTTCCTGACTGCAAAACTGAGGTTTTCAACACTGCAAAGGTAACACAAGATTGCTGAATGTGTAAGGCTTTTCTAAGTGTGAACATTTGCAAATATTTATCAATTTTGTTCAGGTTGGTGCTCCGAGGTTCCATAGAAAGATGACTCCTGTAAACAGCGCGTTTAATTGGCAGTCATACAATGAACAACCTGCCGCCTCCGGTGGAGAAAGTTCGATCACAACGGCTGCACTTTTGGAGCAGGTCGGCGTCACTCGCGATTCGTCAGATTATTTGTGGTACATGACAGAGTAAGAATCTTTCAATTTCTCAAACTTTCTTAAACACTATAAGTAATTGGAATGTTAAAATCTCTTAAATATTTACTGATACTTCAATTTTTGGTTCTTGTTTAGTGTCAACATTAGTCCTAATGAAGCTTTCTTAAAGAATGGCCAATATCCTGTTCTTACAGCAATGTCGGCCGGCCATGTTCTGCATGTTTTTGTTAACGGTAAACTTTCAGGTGAGCATGCTTCCTAGTACATTCCACAAAATCCCGAGATAATACGTTTTAAAATGCACCTTGTCAGTATTTATGTGTTTCGATTAAATAGTTATCATACTAAATAGAAACTCTCTTTACATAATCATCTCTTGTATGAATGTAGGAACTGCGTACGGAGGATTGGATAATCCTAAACTAACATTTAGCAGTAGTGTGAAGCTATGGGCTGGCAATAACAAGATTTCTCTACTTAGTGTTGCAGTCGGTCTCTCGGTTAGTTGTTTGTTTTCTTATGTCTATGAAATATGTGACATTTTCAATTTGCTTTAAAAAAAACATGTTCTTAATCATTTTTTGTATTCAAATTAATTCCAGAATGTTGGCTTACATTACGAAACATGGAATGTTGGAGTGTTAGGCCCGGTAACGTTAAAGGGTCTAAATGAGGGGGCAAGAGACTTGTCTAAACAAAAATGGTCTTACAAGGTTTGTTATAGTATATATTCATTAGAAAATGCAGAATATGTATGTTGTTGAGCATATTTTATGTGTTTTTGCTATCATCTTTTGAGGCTGGTCGGTAAATTTTACGTTATTGGACAGACTGGACTGAAAGGTGAATCTTTGAACCTTCATACCGCAACTGGAAGTTCCGCGGTAAAATGGTCACAAGGATCATTTTTGTCTAAAAAGCAGTCTCTCACATGGTACAAGGTAAGAATGAGTTTTCTACAGAATGCTGCAGTTTTGTTAGTGTTATACAAGATTTTATATGCATCTGCATGAGTTCTGAATTCTGATTCATTTTAACTTCAATGGTGCCAGACAACTTTCAGCGCGCCCGCTGGAAATGATCCGTTGGCTCTAGATATGAGTAGCATGGGAAAGGGTGAAATATGGGTAAACGGTAAGAGCATTGGTCGCCATTGGCCCGGATATATAGCACGTGGTAATTGTGGCAGTTGTAATTATGCCGGAACATTTACCGATAGTAAATGCCGAACAAATTGCGGACAACCAACTCAAAAATGGTAAGATTCCATCCATTCAATTTACTTTACAACAATGTAAATATTTCAAGACCATGAGATCCTATTTTTGTCTTTCGACAGGTATCATATTCCTCGCTCGTGGCTAAACTCAGGCGGGAACTTCTTGGTTGTGTTGGAAGAATGGGGAGGTGACCCTACCGGAATTTCATTGGTGAAAAGAACATAAAGTGTGGTCATTTGATTTTTTTGAAAAGGTATTGCATCGCAACCACGGTTTTAAAACGGTCAACGTCCACAACATCGATGTTTTTTTCTTCTGCTTATTATCGTTATGGTCTATTTTGCAGAACTGCATTTGCAAGCATTAGTTGTCTAGTGACTCATGTCTAGGAAACCCAAAGGAGCTTTCAGATAAGTCCCTATGCAACTATGATCTCTTTGATGCAGCAAAGTACACCAAATAAATGTGATTCAGTTTTTATCAGATAGATTCAGTATATAAAGTTTTTCAACTTCAACATTGATGCTCCATATTTCAAGGCCTAATAATCAACAACCTGGCCAAAAATATATATATACACACAAACAAGAGAAATTTGATGCAAAGAGAATGTATAGTGTATACTGTACATAGGCAAACTATTATGCTTATTTCATATATTTAAGGGCTTGTTGTAATGAATATTAAGCCCGCCATATACAAACTTTCAATTGATTTGTGACATTCAATTTGATAATGTTAACTTTGAGCTGGACTCTAAGCAAGTGGTGGACACTTCAACTGTTTTAATGATGTTGTTACTTATTTCAGCCCCAAACCATGATTGTAGAATATATGCATTTATTTTCTTTATTACAGTATTAACAAACTCTCTTGTTGAGTTCATTAAGAAACAAGTCAAATGGAATTGTCAAAGCATTGGCATGGGTGACAGTATCTATATCTTGCAACAGGAACAGTTTTTGTCATACTCAAATAATCATGTTATTAAGGCGAAGGCTGTAGTACTAGAGTTTGGTTTTATATTTATATCCATTTATGAAATGTCATGTCATTTTTTATAATAATATATTTTAAGATAAATTAAAAATTTAAACATAGTTTACTTAAGAATACCAATACTTAACTTAACATAAATTTATGGATATTTAAGAAATTATTTATTAAATTACATATAGTCGTTGAATTATTGAGCATCAGTCAATTCCAATATAATCAAACCTGGTTAATTAAGAAAACAAAAATAAAATAATTTACTTAATAAAAAAGAAATAATTTAACTTGTGCCCTCCGTTTATAAAAAAATGTAAAAATATTGAAATATCTTTTTTTTTAAAATATTAAAATGTATTAAGTAATTTTATAAAAAAAATCTAATAATTCTAAGAGAAAAAAGAAAATGCACTATCAATATAAAATATTTTTACACTATTAATCAATGAAAGATATATATCACAATAAATTTCAATTTTATTTTTAAAATACTGAATGACATGATAAATATATAGTTTTCATTGCTTATAGGTGTAAAATTGTTTTACATTATGCACTATCTTTAAACTCTAATTCTAATAGTGAATCAAAAATATTTTTTTTTCAAATTTTAATTTTGTATTTTAAGTTTGAAAAGTATTTTTCATCAAAATGTTATTAAGGTGACACTTCAATATGGTTGAGTACTTATCCATCATTCATGAAATGCAATATCACTTTTTTTTATAATAATTTATTTTAAAATAAATTAAAAATTTAAATACATTTTGTTTGAAAATATCAATGTTAAATTAAAACTCATAGGTATTTAAGAATGAGTAATGCTATATAGTAAGAACATGAGAATAAGAAATGTAAGGTTGTATACTTGTTATTGTTTTAGAAGATAATTTTAAATTTATTTTAAATTTAATTTCTTTTTTAATAGGAATCATGGCGTAGTGATAGTAATGATGTTGAGAGAAAATTACATACGTAACATAATAAACCAACAAGACAATCTCTCTCAAATATCAAACGTAATTTAGAGACAATTAACAAAAAAACACACCAAACAACACAACACAATTTTATCGTGGAAAAACATATGTTAATTAGGAGTAAAAAACCACAGGACCCGTAGATCACTTAAAATCTCCACTATAATCAACAATGGATACAAGCAAAGTTCTTTCTAACACTAGTTAGAGGCCGTTGACTCAAAATTTCGACTATAGGAGTTTTAGCTGAAATGATACATTTTGGAGAATATAGTTCGAAAGAAAGAATAAAGGAGTTTGTGTGAAAATTTCGACAGATGAAGAGCTAATAAAAGTTTTGTTTTTGCTAAGTGTTGGCAAAAGGTTCGTACGCGAACCGTGGAGATTTCAAGTTATTCGAAGTATCATTAAGCATATTTCGACCGTCACGTTTGGCGCTTCGAAGACAAAGAGTTTTCAAATTCAAAAGTTTGATCTTATCCAAAGAAACGCGTGGAGGCATGGAATTTGAAGACGCATGCAGATGTCGAATGTGGCAACATATTATTTAGAAATTGTTTGGTCGAAATTAGTATAAATAGGGATCTTAGTGTTAGGATTTATTGTGTTCACATCTTTGTACAATATACTCAAAATTACTCAAAGTACCAGTGCTAGAGAAACGAGTTTGTGAGAATGTACATATGATGCACCAATTTTATGTTTATTGTTATCCAACTTTAATTGAAATATTTATACATTCCTTTAAATTTAAGTTGAAATCTCTTTACATTCCAGTCTTTTCTTTAAAAGTATTACTTTACCATTTACGAAGATACAATTAAAATCAATTTTGTTTAAAAGGATAGAATGCTATTGAAAGTATTCTTCGTTTTAGGAATAGAAGTTTTGAATGATAACATATGTACTTAGGATTAATCTGGTCGATCCTGCAAGTTACCAATTTTTAATTGATTTGGAAGACTAACTGTTGTTTACCAAATTTCACGATAAACAAATTGGCACACCCGATGGGACATGTGTTCAAATTTTCTGTTATTTTTCTATCCCAATAAATTTTTTTTTTGAAAATCTTCATTATCTTTTTGTATTTTTCTGTGTTGCATGAGACTTAGGAGTGTTAATTTAGCCACAAACAACAAGGAAATACCCAAAAGAAAGTACGTTAGGAAAATGGCGAATTAAGGTCAGGAAGGTAATCAAAATCCTCCTAACAATGATGAATTACCACCTCCAATTACTTCGACAGGGGGAACTACGGTATCTGCGCCTTCTTCTGAGGCCATACCGTCATCAATAAGTTCGACGCCAACACAGTCGAATACTTACACGGGCCCTGTTTTAACTTATATAGGCCCTCGGGGTTCACAAGAAACCCCCCCTTCAGGGGGAAATATTTTTCATAGGCCTCAGGGGCCACCTGGTTTTTCCATGCCTCAAAATGGTCGTGAGAGGCCTTATGGCATGCCATCTTCATTTATGATGGGTTTATATAATTCTACTTCAACATATTCAGATCCTGTGATGAACGTCACTTTGCCATTACAAGGCTCTGGATCTGCAGTTAATAACAGGGGTCGAAACGTCCAACCAAAAATTGAAGGAGTTTCTTCCTAATTACCAAATTTAACAAACCAATCTGCAACAGTAATTAGATAACAAATGAATAAGAGTAACCACGAAATGGTCCAATTGCTTGCACAAACAATGCATACAATCTTTAACCCTTTGAATCAAAATACTACTCAGGCGAACCAACAAATGGTTGCACAAATGATGCACATCGCTGATTTCTTTAGTGTGCCCTGTTGTACTCCAAAATTTGCTCTCTCATTTATCAAGACTTTCCTCACAAGATCTCTTTGACTCAAGACTGGATTAGGGTTTGGTCAACTCAAGACATCTCATCTTACACTGTTGATCCAAAATTAGGGTTTGAGTTTACACAAGTATTTTTGGACTATCAATGCTTCATATGACTTTCAAGTGTCATCATGGACCCCTAAGATTACTCATGTCAAGTTTCAAGCCTTGAACCACATTTTGATCAGTCAATTGGATAGTTGACCTAAAAATCAGCTGTATTGGGGGAAAAGTCAACCATGACCAATTTACAGTCAAACTTCATAATTTTTGATCAAAATCAACATTTTAGGCTCATATTTATCATTTGATCAAGTTTGGACCACAACTCCTTAAGGAATTTGATCAAACAATCAAAAGGGCAAAATGGTCAAAATTAGGGTTTTGACTAAGAAAGGGAAATTTCTGATTTTTGACTTAGCAAATGACCAATTGAGTTGAAGCATGATTTCAAGGGTTCATTTGTATCATCTTTACCTAATTACATAGTTCAAAACATTGCAAATCCATTGGATAGACATATGAAATTTGCAGTCAACTGATCAAAAGTCAACTGTACACTGAAAAGTCAAACTTTGACTTTTTGGTCAAAATCAAGTGTCAAGGATCACAATTCATCAAAACATGTCAAAATGTGAAACTTGTTCATCAAGAAATCAAAGATTGAAGATTTTGTTTTGAAATTTGAAATTTTCTTAACTTAGAAATTTTTCTAAGTATAGAAAATTTCTTATTTTTTTCTCAACTTTAAGCCAAATTTCCATCATGATACAAGATGATTCAAAGAAAGTTCCCAACATGAAAGTTGTAGATATCCATGAAATATACAACTTTTCTTCACAAATTTTCCCCTAAAGATGCTTGTATCTCAAAATATAATTTTATGAATACATGCTCATGAACTAGATAACTTAGTGAAATTTTGCCCTAATTTAGGCAGGTTTGGACCCAACTTCATGGAAATTTTTCACCTAGTTCCAAGAGGATTCTTGAAATTCATTTCAAATATGAGTTATAGAGCACATTTCAAGATTTCCAAAATGTCCAAGAATTCCTCAAGATCATTTTTGAGTAGGGAGAATCGAAGAGATGAAGTTGACAATTTCTCACTTTGAATTCAAGCCATTTCATGAAGAACAAAATTCAAATTTGAACCTATGCTGCCTAATTCATGCTTTACAGGTCCCTAACTTGTTTCTCACTTCATAATTTAATGCTTAATCAGTTGACAAAGCTTTAATTCAAGCTCAAGAGCCTTTGTCCAAGTTGTAATTCCATAAATGGCATAAAGTGGCCATTGCCATTTTGAAAAAGCTTGACTTTTGCAACTTTACAAATATTGAGCATTGGGCATGTCTTCTCTGCACACACAAGTACTATAGACCTAAGGCAACTTGTATAGAGCTCATACCAACTCCAAGCAAGCCAATACAAGCATGTGAAGACTTGTCCCTTCACTTTGCTTCAAAAGCAAGAAAGTGTGCAAAAAGGCTAGGATTGTGAAATTTGTTGAAGAGCTGACTTGAAACCTTTTCCATACTAATATACAAAGATATTATAACTAGAAACACGATTGAAAGAGGCCTGAAACATTCAAACACTCCATATCACCAAAAAAAACTGTCAAAACTTGCAGTTTTTGCATAAGCATAGCAATCCATCATTTGGCTCGTGCATTTCCAATTTTAATCATCAAAACACTTTACCTACTTTATATCTAAGAGACCTAGACCATCACCCCTTCACTATAACTCCTCCTTCTTCATCTGCCATTTTTGTTTTCAAAGCTTGCAGGTTGACTTGGATAGAGAGTTCCAGGCACTTCCAAGGCAAGCACTATGCCAAAAATAAGTTTTAGCAGCACATAAAAGAAAGCGCTTTTGGAAAAAAGCGCTGCTGTAGGTTTTAAAAAAAAATCGCTTAAAAAATCGCTTTCAAAGGGTGCCTTAAGAAAGCGCTTTTCAAAAGCGCTTCTAAAGGTCACCCTTAGAAAGCGCTTTTTGGGAAGCGCTGCTAAAGCTGGCCTTTCAGAGGGTACTTTAAGAAAGCGCTTTTCAAAAGCGCTGCTAAAGGTCAACCTTAGAAAGCGCTTTTCCAAAGCGCTGCTAAAGCTGGCCTTTAGAAAGCGCTTTTAAAAGCGCTGCTATAGGATATGCTACGAAAGCGCTTTTTGATGTAAAAGCGCTGTTATAGATGACCTTTAGAAAGCGCTTCTAAAAGCGCTTTTG